AAAATAGGAGTGGTTGGTTGTTTTCACTCCTTGATTCACTTGTTAACATTTGTTGAATCCCTGCCAGGTACCATGTTTCTAAGTATCTTCACATATGTCGTCACATATAACCCTCTTATTACTTAGGAGAGAGATGAGAGTATTCTCTTTTTTTTTTTTTTTAATGGGAAATTGAGGGTCAGAGAAACAAAATGACTGTCTCTGTGCTTAGGGGCACATAGCTGAAAAGTGGCAGACCTAGTCTTCACATTCCATATGCAGGGCTCTTTTTGCAGGGACATGGAGTCTTTACCCTTGTCTATTCTGTGTCTTCAAGCACAGAAGAGGAAGTTTTTTAGGAGCAGTATACTATATCCTTTGGCTACTGTTGGGCTCTAATCACCTCCACTCCAGTTATAGAATGGGCTATTAATTGTGGGCTGTCTAGGCTCCTTGTCCTCCTTCAGGGTCTGTTCTGATAACAGACTTAGTAGGGAGATTGGTTGTCATCATTATCATGATTATCAACAGCAAATAGTGATCAACGGTCCCAGGGTGCACACAGGATATTTAGACTAGAAGGAACCTCAAAAATAATTGAGTCCAAGCCCCTCCTTTAATAGATGAAGAAACTGAGGTCTAGAGTTTACCAACTATGATGATAATCAGAGAGATGGATTGGTGGCCATAACAGACTCCAGCAGGATTCCATTTTGGAAGTATGGCAAGTTTATGGCCAAATGAAGAGTAAAAAGCATATAAGACAGGCAAATACGTAGGTGTCCAAGGGTAGTCTTCTTAGGAAAGGAAATTGTGCTGATAGCAGTGAGGTCTTTGTTTATGTGTCTGGATTATGTGCCTGATTGATAGAGGCCTAATATTGGGACAGTTCTAGAAATAAAGCCTCCACATTTGAATAGGGTTATATAAATATCTTCGACTAAATCAGAGGACTTTTTGTTTTCCCCTTTGATCGAGGTTGAGTTCTGAGTCTGAGTTCACACTGTAGGTTTTTGCATAGGAACATGTTAGTGGGCTCCTTTGTTGTACCTTGTTCTTATTTCCAGATTGGTTTATATAGTCTTGATTATTGGTGTGTAGTTCTAGAAGTAATCTCAATTTGGGAAACTTAACACACATACACATACACACATCACCCCAGTTAGATTAATTCCCATTTATCAGTACTGTTTGTGTGTATTTTTTGGATTGGAAATCTATGAAGTAACTCCTAGTTCTTTAGTAGGTTGGTATTTGGCTAAATGCCCCATAATAGGCCATGAAAAGTAATAGTAGTGACCATTTATTGAGCACCTACCATGTGGAAGGTGCTATAAATAAAGATAAGGAGACTCTGAGGGATAGTAAGGTTAAATAACTTGACCAAGTTCACACTGTTAGTAAGCAGCAGGACTGGATTTCAAAACCAAGGCTATCTGACTTCCAGACCCTAAGCTTTTTAGAGCCTGTTCATAGCATATAAAACCTACTATGGCCAGTCCTCATAAATGATTCTGTGTGTGTCACTGAGCTGTTGTTTCTAGCTTACTCGGTCTCTAAATTGAACAATGGTTTTACTCTAGTTTATATTCTACTTGTTGCTCCTGTTCATCTGGAAATGAAACATATAAAGGTGTGAGGTGGTTGACTGTTAGCTAACAGTTCTGGAAAGACATTTACAGCCAGAAACGCTAGCTGCTGTCCAAACCTCCCTTCCCACTTTCACCCTTGGAAAGAGGAGAGAGTAAGGTTTAGGGGTACAGAACGGGTTAGATATAATCAAAGTTGGATAAAAGAAGCCAGCCTTATAGAAGCCAGCATCTTTTGGATCCAACAGTCTTAGAGGGCTGAGTTTCTGAATAGATCGGCACATTCAAAATCCAATTTGTGTTGACTCACATACCAATATATTTTCTAATTAAATTAAGCCCTTATGCTAGTTAAGAGACAGGGCTTTTGGAAGTGTTTGTTTGTTTGTTTTTTTAATATTGTGGTTTTATGACAGGATCAGCCTTGCATTTAAAAAGTAACAGAAAAGTCAGTCCTTTGTGCTATTCTAAATTATCACCTTAAAAGATTAATTCTACATAGGAGCTGTTTAAAAGATATTTTTGTATTTTCCAGAAAACTTTTTTTTTTTCCACTGTCCTTTTTTTTTCCCTATCCCCTCACCTTAAGTGCCAAAAAGCGTCTGGGGAAAACCAATATACTGGCAACTAGATACATTATTCCAGATAATTTATAGAATTGGTATTTCATATATAATGCTAAAAATTAAACTTTTCCTTGTTTCTATGTGCAATTATTTATTTGATGGTGCAGGACTGGGCAGTGTTCTGTTCTGTTGTACATAGGGTCGCTATAAATCAGAACCGACTCAACAGCACCTAACAACAACAGCATTAGACCTTATTAAGTTTTAGTTTACAACCTTAGTCTGATGTCTGGTGCTTCTTTATCTTTTAATACTTACTTAGTTATAGCCCTCAGATTTACAACTTGTTTATCTGTCCTTCCTTACTTTCTTCATTCGTTCATTTATTCTTTATCCTTTATTTTAAAATTAACTCTTATTATTTAAAAAAAAAAAGCAATAGTAAGTTTTAAAAAAGAAATCACCAGAAATTCCACCACCTCATACAGTTGCTTTTACTTTTGTATTTTAACACTCAAGTCTTTGTTCTTATGCATTCATGTATTTATGTAGTTACTATCATCATAGACATATAATATGATGTTTTACTATTTTTCCACTTGATGCCATCGTAATTTTCCGTGTTGCTACAGAGCTTCACAGCCATCATTTTTAAAAATTGCTGTGTAATATTCTATCAAGCGGATGCACAACAATTGATTTCATCAGCCTCTGGTTGTTGGATACTCAAGTTCTCTCTCTTTTTTTCCATGACATTAGATAACACTGCAGAGGATATGCTTACATATATAATTTTTCTCTCCATCTGGATGATTTCATTAGTATAACTTCCTAGGAGTGGGAGTTCTGGGTCAAAGGATATGAATATTTTTATGGCTTCTTATATGTGTTGCCAAATCACTTTGCTTTTTAAGGTTTGTGTCAATTTATACTGCCACCAGCAATACCATGCCTAGATTATTTGTGCGTATTTCTCTCGGGGCTTTATATCCTCCATCTTGCTGTCATTTTTGATCTGCCCTGTGAGCTAGTGCTCAAAATATTCTTCCAAAATTCTCTACTGTCCACACCTCCCTCAGAGTCTTGCCCTGTTGCCAGCCACCCATATGCCAGGTCAGGTATAAAATTTTATATCTAAGCCCTTACTACCTTACTTCATCTATTTTAATTGTTTTGCATACCATATTCCAGGCAACCAGCCTCCCTTAGGTTCTCCTCAAATGGCCCTTCTCTCTTACCGCTAAGTCTTCCCTCTGACCATTTTTCACGTTTAGAACTGCTTCTCTGCCAAACCTTCTCTATCTCATTTAATTTCAAAAATTGCTTCTTCTACAAAGTTGTCAATGCAGAACCACCTATGATGATGATATCGTTAGTACTTAGTGTACTCAACTCCTAGTGGGTTGCCAGGAGTTCACTGGAATTTTTTTTTTTTTTTTTTAAAGGAAAGCTTAAGATTCACAGGAGCACTTGTATCTGAATAAACTTGAGAATGAGGAGTTACATATTCTATTTTTTTGGTACCATCACTCATTCTGTAACAGTGGGCAAGCCTAATTACTCTATCTTCCATTCTCTTCTACATTAACTACACAGTGGAAAATACAGTGTTGCCAGTCATTTCAGGATAGTCATGATAAGCTCTCTTCTTTTCCAGTTATGATGTCATTGACATCATCATCATTATAACTCTAATATTGACTGGGTGTTTATTATGTGTGCCAGGCACTGAGATAGTGCTGCCTTACCTCTTTTAACCCTCACAGCATTCCTGTGAACTAGGTACTCTTATTTCTCCATTTTTGAATGAGAAAACCAGTTAGAGTTTAAGTTGCTCAAGGTCACAGAGCTAGTATGTGGTGGAGTCATGATTTAAACCCTCATTATTACAGAATTATTTTTCTAAAATACCAACATATTCAAATTTCTCTGATAATTTCTTATTGCTTATGAAAAAGAAAATATAGACGCCTTACCAGCATTGAAAGGCCCTTACAAATCTGTCCAGTCTCCTTTTCCGTTCTCATCTTTCTCCACTCCCCCACCTCCTAACATGTGTCCTATTCTCCAGTCTCATAGAGCTGCTTATTTCACAAATATATCACACAGTTTCACACATTTGAGCCTTTGTTTCTGTCTCTTGTATACTTTCCATCTGCCTCCTGGCAAACTCCTGTTCATCCCCCAAGGCCCAGCTCAAATGCTGTGTACTCTATGTAAAGCATTCCGGTTTCCCTGTGCAGAGTTAGTGACTTGGTTCTTTTTGTTCCTTTGTATCTGTTTCTACTGTAGGCTTTTCACACTGCTTTGTAATTATTTGCTCACATGCCTATCTCACTTTAATAGGAATATTGAGATACAAGATGGGAAGACAACATTTTTACAGGGACATTATTTCATGTATTTTTTAAACATAGACAAAATTAAAATATTTAAAATGACATTCTCTTTTCTTTCCCCCTCAGCATAGGGCTACTTTCAAATTTGAATCAACAGATGAAGATAAAAGAAAGGTAAGCCTTGATGTAGCTTATTATTCTGTGTGTGTATGTGTGTGTGTATTTCACTTATGGACTTGTTTTCATCTGATGGGCTTTGATTAGTTTTTAGTTTCCTTTTAGTTTGTTTTTTAGGAACTCTGAGAAGAGAGACAGATGCCAGTTTTGTTACAGATGACACACAGCTTTCTCCTACGCCTTCCCTGCAGGACCATTAAAAAACCAAAACAAAAAAAAATCAAACCCGTTGCCGTCGAGTTGTTTCCAACTCATAGCAACCCTGTAGGACAGAGTAGAACTGCCCCATAGGGTTTCGAGGGAACGGCTGGTGGATTCGAATTGCCGACTTTTTGGTTAGCAGCCATAGCTCTTAACCACTGTGCCATCAGGGCTCCGCAGGACCATGAGGCTTGTGTAAATCGGGTATAGGAAGGGCTCAGAGGAGGCTCTCTTCCCCAGATCTTCTCACCTCCAGAGACTGATGTTTGCTGGCAGGACTGTAGGTTGTCCAAAATGTATTACTAATCTTGTACAGCTTGGCCAGAGTGGGTTACGGTTGGGGAATGCAGTTGTTCTTGCTGCTGCCCCTGAACCACATATCCTTCCCTGTGCTGGCAGTTATTTATGTTGTCATCAGCTGTCTAGGATCACTGACTTCAGAAGCATAGAGAAAAATGGAGTCAAGAAACTCAGTAGAGGAGTTCCTGTAAGAGAAGGTGTATGAGAGATATGACCATGTAATGTTACGCTTGCCTGTTGGGGTTGCCTATTGTTATTTACGTAGTTGATTAGAGCATGATGCTAATAAGGACAAGCTCACCAGTTTGTTTTGCTTGCCTCCATACACCTATCCCTAGCCTCACAAATGCAAGACTAGGTAAAAGAGTAAGACTAAACAGTATAAACCTATCACTGATGCTGGAAAAATAGCTTAAATCCAGTGCTTTATTGGTAGTGGGTTGATAACACCTTGGAATCATTGCCCCATTCACCTTCACCCCATATCCAATGTGTTAAGTCCTGTTCATTTTACCTCTTAAGATTTCTTCGGTCCTTTCTATCTTTAACCCCTGCCCCAGTTCAAGCATTCATCTGGATTACTGCAGTGGTTTCCTAACTGTTTTTTCTTTCTCCAGTTATGTGCCCTTCCAGTACATAGTCCATAGGTCTAAAACAGCAATCTGACCATATCACTCCCAGCCCTAAAACCCTTCGGTGACTTTTCTTTGCCTACGGAACAAAGCTCCAGCTTCTTAACATGACATACTAGGTATTTAGTGATCTACTCTCTGCCTACTTTTGCAGCCTATCTCCAACTTCTCTCTCCTTTGTATCCTCTAGAAATATATGATGTTTCCAGTCAAACACAAATACACGTCCCTTCAGTTTCTTACTTCCCACCTTTGCTTATGTTGTTTTCTACCTAGAATGCATCTCCCTCTTACCTCTTTTTCTTGTCGTCTGATTAATTCCTACTCAGCTCTGGAGCATCGCCTTCAGGAACCCTCCTCTGGCACCCCTATTAGGGTCAAGTACTCCTCTTCAATATTCCCATAAAATCTAGTGTAAACCTCTAACACTATACTTATACATTATCTCTTAATATGTCTCACTTGATTAAACCTTGAGCTCGCCCTGATGACAGGCACTGTTACTTATCTTTATATCCCTGACATCTAGCGTGCCCAGCACGTTATAGACACTCAGAAAAATATTTGTTGAATGAGTGACCATGGAGTATAAACTTTGGAAGTTAAAGGTTTAACTGACTTTCTCTTGGATTTGAACAGTGCAAACAAGAATAGAGTACCTTTTACAGCAGGGATTCTCAACCAGGGATGTACTCTACGGGAAGCTTTTTCAAGATATACCTGCTCCAGCCCAACCCATATCTATTGAGTCAGAATTTAGGGGGTGGGGTCCAATCCAATCAGGTGTATTTTTATGAACAGTCTTCAGGAAATGAGTACTCATGCATTAGGTGGTAGTGCAAAATGGCACAGTCCCTGTGGAGGAGAAACTGGCAGTATCTACCAAAATTACAGATTGATTTCACCCTTTAACCCAGCAGTCTCACTTCTAGAAATCTGTCCTGTGCATAGATTGAACCCAAGTAAACAAAAGTTATTTATTGAAGCATTGTACATAAATACAAGGGATTAGAAACAACCAAGTGTCCTGTAATTAGGGAATATTTAAGAAACTATGGCACACTCACATAATGAAATACTATGATGTGAAAGAGAGGGAGGGCAGAGATGCTGTTATGTTCTACTGGGGGAGAGAGCTAAGTGAAGAAAAGCAAGGTGTTAAAAAGAACATTGTGTTTGACACATTCATGATAGGTATTAGGCTAGGAAGGCAGCTGTTGTTTGTTTAGTTAGGAATCTATACCACATCGTAAATTTGTGATTCCCTTGGAATCTGACCTTAGAATATTTGGCAATTTGTTGGTCAAAATAAGTACATTAAAAAGAGATTCCTTCTACCCCATATAAATTTTAGTTGAAGGAGATAAATTTCCCACAAAGTTATTAATAGAGTGTGTCTATATTATTTCCAGTATAGCAGTAGCAAAACTTGACATTTTCAAAATATAGTCTTCTATCACATTTTAGATCTTTGGAAGGAGTAACTGCTATACCAGTGCTTACTCGAAGTTATAGTGTATAGATTACTGCTTCCTGGGAAATCTGACATAAACAAATGTCATTAGGGATCTAGCTAGGTAATCTTCATTAATGGATGAACATTGACGGACAAAGCCAGTTCAGTCTCCAAGGGTTAAAACCATTAGTGACTCTTTATCATACCTAAGTGAAAGGCCACTTTTAGATTTTGAAATCAAAACTATTGGACAGCTCTAAAGGAGCTACGTTTAACAGTTTTTAAGTTCTCGATGTAGAGATACATAGAATGGTAGGCATCTCTCCACATTAAACACAATCTGAAAAGAAGAGGAACTCAAGTTACTGCCCAATTTGTTTTGCTGCCCTAGTTCTCTTTTTCTCTTTCCTAAACATGTCTCTGGAGCCTTCTTCCAGCAGCTCCTTGGTAACAGCAGCACCCCTTTCGATAAACTACTGGTGCCATGTCTTTAAAGAACACAACAGAACACTGCCTTTCTTATGTAAAAACCTTTGTTGACTCCTTAGAAGTAAGTGTGATGGAAGGGTACCCTTCAAAAAAACAAAACTTAATTTTACTGAGCTTTTTAGGAAGTGGTTATACATTGATGATCCTTAGACCTAATTCCTAACATTTAGATAGTGTTTTGCGCAAAGATACGCTTCTCACCAGTAATACAGTAAGTATGATGAGGATATCCCCATCCCTGTTTTATGAATAAGAAAACCAAGACTCAGATTAATGGCAACTTACTAGTGCTTCCACAACTAGGAGGTAGTAGAGCCTGAACTAGAAAGCAGATTTCCTGATTATTATGTGCTGCTCTTTACTGCTTATTGCTCCACAGCTCCCTCTCATTACCTTTGAAGTATATTTCAGAAGGCTTGAAATTATCCAGTGCCTTGTTTAATCTCTTATTTCATACTTGAGACACCATTTAGGCAACTAGACTTAAATTGGAAGATAGTAAAGAAAATTACTAGGACTGCTTACATTTTCCTGGAGAAGTAGTCAGATACAACTCCTGATGTTTGTGCGTATAATGCAAATAGTTCCAGGTGCATGTGGATCACTGTATATTTGGATATAGGCACCTGCGCTTATTGAAGCATTTGCTTTACATCCTCTACTTACATTGGTAGACTGATTATCTACCAGCACATAAACAAATATATCATGCAAATTCATGGGATAGGGGGAATATAATGAATAATCTGAAAATTTATCTTGAGGAAATGAAAGCTCTTGTATTTGTTTAAAACAAAACTGACCTCAACACCAATAAAGAGTACTAATCACAATAAAAGTTGAAAAGGACATGTTATAAAACGAGTAAAAGAATGGCAGCTCTTTACCTATAAGAATACAACCTTCAGTTGTTATTTGAGATAAATCTTTATGTACATAGTAATTTTCCTCAAAAGAATAAAATTAAAAATTGCCAGAATTTAAACATTTATTTCATTTTCTCTGTGTTGTGCAAACTCATGCAATTAAGGCCATATTTCTGTGGGGCCTGAACTGAGACTGTGAGCTCTCTGAGGACAAGAACTCTGGCTTATTTATCTTTCTGTTTTCAGCCCTCAGCTCTGTGTTCTCCACAAAATAGGCACCTACAAAAAAAGTCTGTTAAAGGGAATTCAGAGACTGAGTAGAGACCAGAATTCCTTGGACTTGTACATAATGTTTGGCTTTGTGTTTGATACTCTTTTTACTATACAGCAGAATCTCAAGCACATCTCATAAGATTGTATCATGAAAACTCATAATACAAAAGTATGCATATAGTATGATTACAGCTGTGTAAAACTAATAACTCTATACTATACAAAGAAAAATGACTAGAAAGAACTCTACTAAATGGTGGCTATCTGAATAGTAATATGGATATTGTTTTTGTACTTCTCTATATTTTTAACTTCCCAAAATATTTATTCTTTTTACTGTTTCCCCCTCTAGATTTGGACATACTTGGCATATTAGAGATCTCTGTAGTCCACAAATACTTTTTTTTAGCAATTCCTGTGTGCCAGGTACTATGTTAGGCCTTGGTTTCTACGTTGACTGTTTGCCTGTGGTGTTTTGCTTGGCACTTTCGTAAGCTACAAATGCATGCTGAGGATTGCTGTTGTGGACTGTAGAAAATGAATGGGTAAATTTCCATGTTAGATTCCCCCAAGGAAAGTGTGCCAAGATAGGACCATCAGTCCTAGACAGTGAATCCATACTTGGGAATAGTTTGAGGCATGGATGCTTGCTCTGAAAGCACTTTACACTTATTTTAGTCATTTGAAATTGTCAAACTCCAATTTTCACTAAAACAAAATGATAATTTGACTCAGAATTTCTTTGATGTATTCACCTTAGGAAATGTTTTGATACATGAA